CTCAATGCTCATTCGTAAATATCTTTCAAGTTCATCATTTTTAAATGTGTTTGTTGTTGTTGAATTGATATCATAAGTGCCATCGTCATCATCAACTATCCTCATATGAAAGTATCGATAACAACATTTTATGATCAAGATCGAACTTTTATTGAAAGTTGAAAAATTATGGTAGACAGGTGGCCTGACCATTTCAAACGGCCTGCCTGGCCTGTGTGAGATTTTGGCCTGGCCCAGGCAGGCAGGCAGGCCCCATGGCCTGTTTTAGGCTCTGTCACATACTCAATTCCTTGGAGGAAATTTGAATTGCTCTTGAGTGGATTTTCCATAGAAAAAGGCTCATTTTTTCGTGTTTTGCAATGATTACCTTGGGGCCACTCTTGGAGATCCCGCGCTAATTCTTTTACAGAATTGTAGCCCAAAGAAAGTACTTCAAAGTTCTAATAACCAACGCCCCAGACAATCCATTTCTTGGGAGAAAGCCTATCCTGAAAGTTCCCGCATTTATCAAAATTCCGTTTTTCACGGGACTGCAATGAGCAAATAGAACGGTATGGATAGCTGAAATTTTCAGGAGAGATACATCTCTCAGTGTCCTATTAACAGTAAAAATTTGAGAGTCATATATCATTCCTATCAAAAGTCTATAACATATCTTAAATTGAGAAAAATCTGATGACATCGATTGAGCAGGGTCTCTATGAAGTCGGTCGTGGCTTATATGGGGTGGCTCATATGGATACACAGTATATTTTATAAGCAACACCAAGCACATGGCAAACTTATATGCATAAGTGGAGTGTCGGCTTATATTTCTTGACTTAACTTAGTTTCGTTACCAGTTCGCCAATGAGTTCGTTTAACAAGTGATGGTTACTGTCTGTTACAGACTGCAACTGTTCAAGAAAATTACTATAACTCGACTGACTGTTTTTGACTCAGAGACATCCACATACATAGGGAAAAAGGTAAAGATAGAAGGAGAGATAAATATGGAAGAGAGAGCAGGAGAGAAAGAAACAGAGGGAAGAGAAAAATGGAAGACACTAATAGAAGAAGACGGCGAGAGAAGAAATTAAAAAGGAAAGAGAGTAAAAATAGCGAAGAACGAACCACTCGATGCTCGAGCGAGAGCAAGAGGTGTTATACAAAAAGTCGTCCCTCATCTTGCGTAATATATCATTAGATGAGACGACGTACTTTTTGGCACAAAGTACCGCTATGCAAATTATTTAACTTTGTTCAGCACAAAAGATAATATTATTCTTGTTCATTGTCTCATCTTTTTATCTTCCACTTCTGAATATAAACGGTGGTATGCCGGTAAAATGAGAGGAAGCGTACAGCAGTACTCGTTATCTATTCTCTGTTGAATATCTTTTCGTTCTACAAGGACGTTTCCATTTATTCATCAAATGGAATTTTTCTTTTCTGTCTGCCCAAGAATAAAAATTACACGACCTTGTGCAACAGCACAATGTCATTTCGTGGTATATAAAGTAGATAGACAAAAACAATCGATTCTTAGGCTGGCTGAACTTAATTTAATTGGTAGGAAATGGCTGGTACCTAAGATTCAGAACACAAAGAATCTTTGACAGAATCAGATGTATCGCTTTTTGTGAGACTCGAGATGGGAGTGCAGCATTCGTTAATCGCCAGTGGATTGTAGAAAGCTTCATCGTGGTATGCGACTTGTCACAGAGGGGCGAAAGAGATCGTATGATGATCATTTTGCTAATTATTCCGAGTACGGTTGAAAACTGAAAGTATCAGATGGCAGTCAAAATCTCATCCTCAGTGCAACTGATAAGTAAAAAACAAGTTCTTATGCTTTGGTCAAAGACATAACAGCAAAATACAAAGAACGTGTTACACCAAAAACAATCGATAATTATCGTCAGAGGGTTGGATTGAAACCATGTCATGTTATTCCGAAACCCTTAAAAACAGAAACTCATATTTCAGATCGATGATAGTTTTGCGATTGGTTAAAAGACTGGACTCGAGAAGATTTTCTTCATCTTGTACCCTTGGATGAATTTTATGTTTGGGCTATTCGCAGGTCAAATTATCAAAATGATAGAATTTGGACAAGAAGTATTGAAGATATTGAAGAGAATGAAAAGTAATGTGAGATGGTGAAAAAACAATTATGTGTCGGCATTTTTATCATTTTCATGGTCAAGGAACTGCATTAGGTAATGAAAGAGAAGAGTGAATCTTAGACTGGTCAATATACTCGTGACATTATTTTAATTCAGCATGTGTTTCCATTTTTCAACGACGAAGAAAATGTAATCGATTCTGATCAAATGATATTTGTCCATGACAAAGTGCCCAGCATGTGTGCAAATATGACTAACATTTGCTTAAAGAGAATGATATCACTTTTGGGGGGAATGACACATGACCTAAATGTCGCTGAACATATTGAGACAATAATGAAAGATGAAATTGAGCGAAAAATATTATCGGAAACTGGAAAATCATTATAAGCAAGAGACCTTAAAAAAGCATCTCCCAAGTATTATGACTGACATGGAATCAAATGTGGAACTATTTGAAACTTTTTTATGTTCGTATCTGTTCCGTCTTCTGACTGTTAGGAATGCCAATGGAGATTACACTGATTATTGATTTCACTAATCAGTTTTGGAATATAAATGCTTTCAATGCTATCGATCGCTTGCAATCATGATTCAAGTCGAACTGCTTCAAGCAATAAACTTCTTCATAGTGAAATAGCTCGAAATTCTAAAGATAAATTATTTTCATTATAAAAATTTTTTTAGAACCTTTACAATTTAGTGTTAGAATATTACATTTTTTCTGTGCTTTCATCTGATACAGAGTTCATCATGGTTAGCATTTGTTATTGTAGAGTTAACCCTTCTTCCCTTCCCTCTCTGGAAAAACATTTTTACGCACTGTGTACAAAAGTTAATAACAACATGTGATCATTGCATATAGGACAAAAAACGAGAATAAGTTGATGAGGCTCTCATATTTGCTTATCAGTATGTGTTTCAATAATGTAATGGAGCTGGTTGATATCACTTACTTTTTCTTTTCGTACTTTAATTGCAAGTAACCTTCGTGACGAACATGACGAGAAGAAATCGTTGCCTATACGCTCTTTCATCTCTCTGCCTATCTGCTCACTTATTTCTTTTTTTGCACAAGGTGAAAGAAAGTAACTCTATGCATCAGTAATCACAGTAGTGAAGAGGAAATAAAAATGTGCGCTCGCCTCAATTCGATTCAGTTCTTTCTGCGTTTGCTTAAAATCATAACTACTGTATTCACGCATTTTTTCGATTACGACAGTGCTTGGACTTGGACATCAATTTAACTGTAACTACTACTACACTTATTTTATTCTGTCTGTACTATTAAGGTAATTTATTCCCATACCAGAGTTTGATATCTTTCAGTAAAAAACCTAGGTGGAGTGTAGAACGTTAAAAAAGTTTCGTGGATTGACATGAAATCGAAATCTTTCTTGGTTTCATAAAAACATACCATGCTTTTTAATGTATTTTTAAAAGTGTACAAAATCTTTTATGTTTGGAGGTTCTTACAATTTTTAAAGAGTTTCGATTTCGTTTCAATCTTTAAGTTTTCGTAACGTACCTACGTTTCTTCAGTATGAAGGAACTGCGATTCCAAGTTTCATGGTATATCTGATCTTGTGATTGGGAAAAGGCTTAACAGCTTACCAAAGAGCTAAGAATAGCGATGGGGTGGGGTGTGGGTTTAGGTGTCAGTATTAGTGTAAAGAAGATTTTTATACGCACATTCACATCCATCTACAGCCAGAGCCACATTCAACTCAGCCAAGTAGCCGTTAATCATTGAGTCGAGAGTCAAGTGAGTCATCTTGACGAGCGTTACTTGTTGGTAAAAGTGTACAGAAAAGACAGAGTTACAATTAAACCATTGTAGAAGTATTAATTGCTTAATTTTGTGTAAACAAGAAAATTTTTATCAGCTCAAACTCAGGTTTTAAAATTGCTTTTAGTTAAAATAAAAGCAGAGTACGAGAAACTGCTTCTATCTGATTGATTTATGACATTATTTATTTATAAAAATCCTTCAAATAGGTAGTCTAAGGCTAATATCTTCATTCAATTATATTAAATTTGAACCTTTTTGGTTTGACTCTGTTCGGCTCGGCTCGGTTCTAGAAGAACACGAACCAATTCCATTACTGATAAGCAAATACTTTATTTACTTCTGATATTTAATTTTGAAAAAAATAAAGTGAGCATGCCATCGCTAGGTAGGGAGGATAGGGGGTAGGTTGTGAGGGCAAAATTGTCACGCGTAATTTTCTGTTTCATTCGAACGTTGCATTTGTATACTTTGTTGACGCGTTAGTATCCAAAAATATTTTCATGGGACGTTTGAATGCCTATCGGATTTTTGAACAAATCATAATATTTTGGGTTGAAAAAGAGTTCCGTCTTGTTTTAAGTGTACCGATCGTAGCCTAGGAATTCGCTCATGGTATCTACATTGCTTTCATTTTTCATGTAGGTTTGTGAACTTGAACACTCCTTCACAAAGCGTACTTTTCTCAATAAACCTCGTGATAGATAAGAAACAGGAAAATGGTACACCAAGATTTGCATAGACAAGAATTGGACATGAAAATAATATTTCTTGTTATTCAAATACTATCCATCTAAATTTGTTTTCGACTTCAGTGTTTTGTAATTCTCGAAATAAGATTAGTGCAAGTCGGACTAAACGGACAACTACTGCTCCATGTTAGAAAACTTTCCATTTTCACAGTGAAACTGAATGAAGGACTTTCCATTCAATGAATTTTTCCAGAGCTTTCATAACAGAACCTTGTCTCTGTTTCTACAAGGTATTGTGCTTCGTGACTGTCCTGTTATGTAGCAGAACAGAAAAGTTTTCTTACTTTCAACATCAATCATATCAAAACGATTACGGAAACTCATTCTTTCTAGTTGGTTTCTTTAGATTCTATGAATCATAGATACGGTATCAAGCTTGGAGAGAATCCAAATACCTGGAGTCCATATCCAATGGGTGCTTCTGGTATCAGGCTTGGAGAAAATCCAAATACCTGGAGTCCACATCCGATAGGTGCTCCTGGTATCAGGCTTGGACAGAATCCAAATACCTGGAGTCCATATCCAATAGGTGCTCCTGATATTAAGCTTGGAGAGAATCCAAATACCTGGAGTCCATATCCAATGGGTGTTCCTGATATTAAGCTTGGAGAGAATCCAAATACCTGGAGTCCATATCCAATGGGTGCTCCTGATATTAAGCTTGGGGAGAATCCAAATACCTGGAGTCCATATCCAATGGGTGCTCCTAATATTAAGCTTGGGGAGAATCCAAATACCTGGAGTCCATATCCAATGGGTGCTTCTGGTGTCGGTGGCTCATATGGCGGCGCATATGGTGACAGATACTTCTGAACTGCAATTCACAAACTTATCAGCTGAACATTTATAGTTTCTACCATTATACGCTCTAGACGCTTCCTGTGTTTCCTTTGACAAAGTTGATTTAACATGTCAGTGAGTTTTTCTTATCACGTTTAGCTGAGAAAATCCAAATACAGTCTGAACAATATTCACTAGTAAGGCAGATTATCATGGATTCACAGAGTATGGGTGTGGGTAGTATCTAGGTGGAGTGTGGTGGTGTCGATGTAACTGAAGAGAAAACCAAGGTGAATCTCACTTGCAATTAACCACACATATGTCGAAAGGTAGAAATGTAGAAAATGAAAGTAAATGAAAGTGAAGATCTCCTTCATCCTTACCCTCACTCTTATGTCCTCGACTTTCATCATCATTTCTGTTTCGACATTTCTATTTTTCGACTAAGTTCAAGTTAACCAAATTTATTGTGCAAAACAAACTAAATATATTATGATCTTTAATTGAAATGAATCAATTAAAAAATATTGTATCTTTAAAATCTGATTGTTCAAAAACTACTCATTTTTATTATAAATACACAATATTCAAAAAATTATTTATCTTATGATAAATATAGGCGCACTCCTAAGAGAACATTCAAACATGTTTGAAAAACTCATTTAATTGCTCAAGAAAACATAGAATTATAATGATCTTTTTGGATGGAACAAAGTAATGTACATTGTAAAAAAATCGAAGACTAACAAGAATTAATTTTTTTTATTAGTTAAAATCTATCTTACAGTAAATATTCCTTCTGGATTTTCGCTCGACAATTTTCGTATGAAAAATACGGAAATATTTTGAGAAAAACAGTCAAAAAATAGTTTCAATCTCAAGAAAATAAAAAATTCCATTATTATTTTTTATTTACATGATTCACAAATTTGTTTTTGAAATATCGCGATCAAACGCCAAAACTTCTTCTAAAGTCAAATAAACATGATACATCGATAATTTTTTGAATATAAGGAAAAATCATCGATTAATTCATAATTTTCATGCTTAATCACGATTAATCACCAAAATTAATGCGATCTTGATGACATGAAAAATGATTGAGAATCGTTATAATTTCTTAACTTAAGTCAAAAAATACTAAGCTAAATAAATTGCCGATTTAATCACACTGTATTTCTAACATAAAAAATTCGACAATCAATCGTGAAAACTTAAGCAATTTTGACGACATAGAGAACGAAAAAAACAAATCCTGCTTTTCTCTATCCCTGCTCAATATTCATATTCAACGAAAAGAGTAACAAGCCGATCAATAACTCTCCTCATGAACTATTGCTATGGAGGAATTCATTGAAACAAACTATCCGTGAGAATAACTGGAGAGTCTATTTCTAGTGTGACCTATTGAAAACTATGTCATTTCATTGAAAACCGTAATACAAATCATCATAACTTGGAGAAAAGGCCGATGGGTAAGAATCAATTTTATAATTGTCTAGTCTCGATAGAGTCTATCTAATGGAAGGGATCCCAGATCAAACATGCTCAACCGTAAACGGCCGTTCACTAACTAAATACGGCGAAAAACGGCGACCGTTTACGTTAGCTATTTACAGCAGCAGTAAACGATGCTTTACAGCATATTACGGCAATCGTACACAATGTCCGTAAAATTCCATCGTAAACTACTACCGTAACAATCCGGTGACTGTATACTCTGGTCGGAAAACAACGTAAGGTATCGTATACGTCAGCCGTTTCTGGTGGCTATTTACAACAGTTGTATATGATGCTTTAAGGCATGCTACGGCGATTGTAAACATTGACCGTAAAATATAATCGGGAACGACTAGCGTGGTAACACGACGACTGTTTACGCTGATGCTATGAAACGTTGTAAGACACCGTATGCGTTAGCAGTATACGGTAATCGTTTACGGCGATCGTAAATAATATTTTAGGATGCTTTGCGGTCGTTGTAAACTATTGCCATAAAACGTCACCGTGTATAACTTCAGTAACAATATGTCGACTCTATACGTTCATCCCATAATATAGCAACGTACTGTTTGTGTCTACTATAACTAGTCCGATATAGAATCACTGTTTGTTATCGTATTTCATTGCAAACAATCGTTAATGTCGGCGAATTTCTATTATTGAATATCAATAATATACTCTTACGATGAAGGGGGGTGTGAGTGTGGGTATGGGTGTGGGTGTGGGGTGTGTGGGTGTGGGTGTGGGTGTGGGTGTGGGTGTGGGTGTGGGGTGTGTGAGTGTGGGATTGGATGAATACAAGATCCACACTCACATTCACACTCACACCCACACTCACATCCCAGTCACACCCACACCTTATTTGTCAAGAGGCAGTCAGATTAGCAATAGTTCTCAGCTTCAATCTGTAGAAAAACCATTCAGAAATCGATTTATTAACAGCTTTTGAAAATAAGTATAACGAAAAAATTCCAACTAACTAGATTATTAATAAAAGAATTCTGTCTTTGAAACAGGTTACCATATTCATGTTTCTTTAGGATGTTACTGATTCTGGATTATCAACAACAACCAATTCAAAACGATTCGGGCTTCTTATCGCCATTGCGTTATGTATTTGACTAAATTTTACTGCCGTCGTCAATTCTAGTTCTCTTTGAGCAGCTTGCTTATCAAAGTTTTGAGTAAATTTGTACCACTGAACAACAAGTGTTGATTCATATTGATAATATCCACAGGTGACAGTATTTATCTTGAATACGTTCGATAACGTAACGACAAAAGTACACATTAATGCTCTTTTCTTTCACACCTTTTGATGCCACACTAAACTCGACATGTCCGTCTGTGGGCTTTGCATCATCCAATATCCCACTGTCAATATCGAAATCGAAATTCTTGAAGTCTGCCTTCTTCGCTTTTACCATTAAACCATAAGCAGCTTTACCAAGGATATTACGCAATTTCTCATCTTCAATTTCCTGCAATTGAAGCATGGTCTCTGCTGCTGTAAGGCCTGACAAAGTTATCATACGTAGCTGTTCTTTTGAGTCTGCCATGGGATGATGAATATGATCCGGAGTTTTGCTGTTTCCAAAAACTAAAAAGACAAGAAGGTATTGGAACTGATAATGATACGTAGCCAAAAACTTATTGCTACCTTTCACCTACCATCGAGTTTCATTTGTTCGAGCTTAGCGGGATTGAGCACATTTAATTTAACCCATGCAGTTGAAGTGTTCATCTGTTTCTGTGTCATAAGTAAATTAGTAAGCGTTGTTTAAATCGGTAAAATAGAAATATTAAAAAGTCTTGCAAATGGTAAATACAGCTATTTTAATACTGTCATGATACGTTTTTTCACACCTTTCTTCTTCCTGATCTATCAATGGGTAAGTAAGTCAAGGTTTCTCTTTCTTTTAAAGCAATTCTGCGAAAAAGCACAGGTGAATTATCGCTGTAATTTTGAAACAATTCGAAAGATAACAGACATTTCGAAACTTTCTGATCTCTCTCTCTCTTTCTCTGTGAATCTTTCTTGGGAAAGCGAAATATTATGATGTCGTGGCAGTTATCTCCCTTTTCTCCTCTTGACCTAACTTCAAATCTTACACCTTCAGTTTGAAGTGAGAATAAAGAGCGTACACTCTAGAAAAAAAAGTGTTTTACGAACCCATAAAGGATCCTCCCCCTAGCACACGGAAAGATTCTATTTTTTTGGATTCATTGAAAAAAAAGTTCCATACCCGAGCAGACTGAGGGTGTGGGTGGGTGTGGGTGTGGGTTGGGGTGTGGGCGGGGGTGGGGGTGTGTGGGGTGGCGGTGTGGTGGTGTGGGCTGTGCGCGTGCGG